GAGATCAAAGTCGCTGGCCAAAATGTCGCGAACTCCCCCAACCAAGTATCGTAGTTTTACACCACTTAACACAAAACGAGGGGAGATTCTCATGCAAATCAAGAAGATGGAGTTTTTTTATTGCTGATGTACTGCATTCGACCATAATCGATCCTCCGGTGATAGTTGCTATCACCCTTGCGATCTGCTCCTCGTCATTAGTCTCATTGCACTGGTTCCTAGGTTGCTCGGGCACGCGTTCTTCCTTTTTTATGAATTGTGTCAGGTAGCCCCTTATGATTAACTCCTCGATCTCATTTCTGAGATTTTGACAGTATTTGGTGTCATTTCCTTGGCTTTATAGAAGTGGCAATATCTATCTTGGTTCCTATTCTCTGGGTTTCCCTTCATGCAAGGTGGCCACTTCTATTACTTCGGTCAGGAGCCTACACCTCGGGCCATGACCTTGGGTCACAATCGTTTCAATGCCTCGGGCTAGGTAGGAGCTCACATTTGAATACAGGAGCTCGGACTACCTTGGGGAACATTTTTAAGCCCATCCCAACACTTAGGCGAATTTTCGTATAGTTTCAAATCAGGGTATATAGGTCGACCTGCTATCACATTGGAAACATTTTAACATTCAACTATTCGATCGTATAAGCATATGAAAAGGGAATGCTTCATTGCAATAAAAGTAAAAGGAGTTTGATATATTCATTAAAAAAAGTGTACTTCAGATTGAAATAGGAAACCGAACTCGGAGACTTGGGCTACAAATCATGAACAAAAGATCTAAGAAAAAGATGCAAAAGAAATCACTGCTGGCTAGGGGCAAATCATCAGCCCTCGTGCCTCCTCTGTCCTCGCCACCTTTACTGACTTCGTTGTTGCACTCCTTGAAGTTGTCCTCCAGGCTAACTTCGTCTCCCTCGAGTCCGTCTCATTATGGTGTTGGCGACATATTTGTTCTTCTCTTTGGTGAAGTGACAGGAGGCTCGAGAAGCGGTGACAACCTTCACTTCAACAGCTCAGATGTCCTCAGCATGCTTGGCTTGCTATTCCTTCACTTGGCCAGATCGTTCATTTAGCTCAATCATCAATGAGTCCACATTCCTCTTGGACTTAGTCATCCACCTGGTCAACTCCGTTTTCTCCGACTCCATAATGGCGGCCTACTCCGACAGGTGCACCGCGCTACATTAGCACCCCTTCAATTAAGCTCGAAGATCCTCCACTTCTCATCCTAGTAGCTCACGTTGATGTTCGGAGTTTGCACATCGGTCTGTAAGGGCCTAGGCCAAGGTGTTCGATTGCAAGGCAAGATAATATCAGAATAAGGGGAACAAAAGGGTCCTCAAGAAGTCTGATTGAGTTCTTACCAGCAAAACAACTTAGTAAAGTTTCCCTCCAAGCATTTGAGTGGGCTGACCAGTGAAGTCCTTGACATCCTCAGGGAGAAGAATGTCCCTACTCATCTCAAGTGCCACCTAGGGGTCTATGATCCGATTTGACGTCATTATTGACCACTCCGGAGTGAACTGAGGTGGTGGCATGTCAGCAACTGGCAGAACTTCCTTAACCACACTTGTTTGCTCAAGCCTGGAGCTCAAACCAACTTGCTTAGAGCTCAGTGTAGCCTCTTTGGCAACTATGTGATTAGTCTACATTGGCTCGACCTCCTCCTCCTCCTCCTCAAGGATGACTACGGGGGTGGACCGTCAACCTCCCCACTCACTAGAAACACTCCATGATGAATCTCCGGCCTTCCTCTTTCTTGCCTTCTTCTTAACTTGGTTTAAGATTCCCTGGTGTTGACATCGCCCATCTCACCTCTGCACGCATGAATAGATCGTGACACGAAAATACGAACATGACCAAGGAAAATACCTAAGTGTCGGTGGACAACTTACCTTGAGTACTCAACCCAGCTTGGATCAGTGCCTCCTCGGTCAGGTAGTCACCGACCCGTGCTTTCTTCTCAATCAAACCCTTCACCCACTCCTGTAAGGCCTCGCTCAAGGTAACCTCCCCGGTATCCCTAATGGCCGACATCCACTTAGTACTGAAGGACTACCCCTCCTCGGAGATGAGGAAGAAAAAACTATTTTTCCATTTTGGCAACTTGGACGGAAAACCACCTAACAACTTGTACCCAGACCGGTAGGAGAGATAAAAGCTATATTCGTTGGTGGGGTTTTTCTTCAAGTGACAAAGGCAAGCAAAGGTGTTGAGGTCTAGAGGGAAACCAAAGTGATGGAATAACAAAATGGTCCCTACAAAGTTTGGATGAAGCTGAGAAAGGGTAATGTTGTAGTAATTCAACACCTTGACTATGATGGGGTGAAGCGGAAATCTCAGTCCGGTCTCTAGAGCCTGATCTTAGACACAGACTTCATTCTTGTCGTGCTGCTAGGGAATTTGGCTTCTGTCGGGAAGCACACACTCGAAACGGTTTGGGATCCTATACGGACCTCCTCGGAAGTTAACTCAGTTGGATTGAACTTGGACTTTTGGGGTGGACATCGAGAGGTGGAGGCCCTCTTATGGGAACCTCAACTCTCTTGGGCCGAGGACCCCTCCTCAACATGGGTGACACATCGGCCTTCTCCTTCGGACTCACTACTAGACATTGAGGCAAGAAAAGAAGAAGAGAAACTTACTAAAAACTTCTTGGGATGACCAACTCCGCAAGGTTATACTGATCAAACCAATGTAATTGAGCTCTCCACCACTTAGCTCTTGCTTAAAGACAAGGGAAATGGACCCCCCAAGGCCACCTATTTTTAGTCGGAGGACCCGACTCCTCAACGACTGTGATCAACTTCATTTGACGGTCCAGATCAACGCGACATTTCGATTTCTATGAATCTGAACCCAGTTTAATAAATTGCTGGTGTCCATGATAACCTAATGGGGTGTCACGTCCGTGCGTATATGCACGCGACCTTTTGGTAGCTTCCATTCAAAAGACCTCATTTGAACCAAGACTCGTTTGACCTCAACCATGATATAAAGAAAACAAGTAATCAAAAGCCATCTTCAATCATCTACTCCCTTTCGCCCGAACTCTTCCACCTCAGGCTTGGGAGTGAGAGGCAATTGATGATGGGTGAAGTCAACACACCGACCACCTAACGCCACATCACCTAGGAAGCCTTAGGGCTTGCAGGAAGAATAGGATGAGAATCATCTACCTTCAGGGTGGATGCGTATATTCTCATGTGACCTCAGGAGGTCGTCAACAGTAGTCGAACCAAATTGCCCAAGACCCTGGTTCCACCTCAAACACCTCAGGACATCAAATGGCCCAGACACCAGATCAACACTTCGACTGAATAATGCTGACCTACCACATCAATGCGAGTATTGGGTTTCGGGCACTCAACACCTCCGAAATCCTTGGGAATGTGTCGAGTAACTGATGGTAATGACAAGAGCCTCCCTGCTTCTTAGGGAAATGACGAGCGCCTCATCTGGAGAACACTCCCTTAGGCCCCTAAGAATTTGGTTGCTAAAATCCATTACTTCTGAGAATCTCAGAAGAGCCTTAATCACCCCTCATCTCTATAAAAAGGGGGGTATCTTTGCCTTACAAGGTACACTCTCTAACAGAAGCTCTAGCTCACCTTGCTCTCTCTTCTCGAAACTCTCTTTCAGTTCGTCTAGCTTGGAACTAACTTGATCGTCAGAGTTTCTTTGCCTGGGCTCACAACCCATGCTCTCTAACATCCTCTCTCTTGTAGGGCTTGTGCCACTCTCCGCTCTCGCACAAAGACCTGAGTAGATCAAGCACCATCACATAGTAAATATTAAATAATTTGTAAACTCATGTATTTAATCCTATATTTTGAAAAGTCAGATATCCAAGAGTTGCATAAAAACATAATCGTTCCATAGTCTCCATGGTATATAAAGTTTTTTTTTTTTTTTCGAACTGCCATTGACCCAGGCAATTGGACCATTCAGCCTAGAAAACATCTAGGCAACCGGTTTCATTTCACCCTTAACTCATCCCTGGGGCAAAAATTGTTGACTTGGTCAAATTATTATTAGACTGGGCAGTCGAACCATCGACCTGGACAACAATTCATGGTTTAATAAAGATGCAACAGTTCTCTAATATGAGGCAAGAATGATCTCATATATGAGAGAGAGAGAGAGAGAGAGGAAAAATAGAAAAGAAGATTGCATATCGGAGAGAAATCAGATCTCAAATATGATATATGCATTTTTGTTGCCGCTATCACCACCATTGTCATCTCCAGCAAACATCGTATCTTCCTCCTCTTTATTCTTCCATCATTCCTTCCTTTCTCTCATTCTTTTTTTTTCTCATTTCTCCCATTCATTGTTTCCTTTTTTGTTTCTTTCTCAACCGACCACTCATAAAAGACTAAAAGAGTAAAAATATGGGAAAATTTCTAATTAGTACCCTGTTCTTTGGGCTTAGTGCCATTTTGATCCCTGAATTTTAAAACACGACAACTTAATACCCAAACATTCAAAACGTGGCAATCCAACACCTGTCGTTAACCAACCCATTAACCAGCCGTTTAGTGACAATCTAAAAAGGGACAAATGCCCTTCAAGTGTCATTTAATTCTCTTTATCAACCATCCAAACATTAACAAAAAATGAATAGTCCCAAATCCTTGTCTCTTCTATTCAAGAAAGTTAAGGTCACAACTCAATGGGCATTTGGTGACCCCAACTTTATTGAATAGAAGGGGGTAAGGATTTAGGACTGTTTATTTTTTATTAACGTTTGGATGGTTGAAAAGGAATATTAGATGACACTCACATGACATTTATATCCTTTCCAATGCCACTTACTGACTGATTAAGAACATGGCACTAAGCACAAACCATCGATTCCCTTTGTGGGTCGATTTTAAAACCTTGGGTATATTGATATAGCATTAATCTCAAATTTTCGTCGGCTTTTAGTAAAGCAGTGACCTGTGAAGACAAAATGGAAAATAAATAAGTGACAAGGCTATTTATAGTCCTCGTCTACAAAGCATTGCATTTGCAATTTTGTTTCGGAGAAAGCGAGATGGTCGTTGGGGACATTTCCACCATCCAGCGTCCACCCTAGCCTCTTGGAGTTGGAGTTGGAGTTGGCGTTGGAGCACGGGAATGAGTTGAAGTCTTAAAGAAAGAAACCGAAAAAGGAGAGGAAAAAGATATCAAAAGCAAAAGTGCCGAAACAGCTTTAGCTGATTAGCTCCAGCAGTAACCGAGAAGAAAATGCAAGAGAAGAGCAGCCATTAAAGAAGGAGAAGAAGAGGAGGAAATGAGAGATTCACTTACAATGGAGACAACCAAACGAAGCCCTGCAACAATGCCTCCCCATGACGGTAACTTGAAGTCACCGTCACCACTACTCCCCTTGGTTGTTTCTCTCAACTGCCTCGAGGACTGCAGCTTCGAACAAGAAACCCTGGCCGGCGTCGCAACTGTCGAACACGTCGGCCTTAACCGTCTTGCCGACGGTCGGATCGAGGCCGCAGCCGCCGTTCTCCTGCACTCCCTTGTCCTCCTCCCACGCGCCGCCCAACGCCGACTCCAGCCATGGCAACTCATTCTTTGCCTGGGCTCCACCGACCGCTCGTCCGACTCCGCCCTCGCCGCCGATCTCGGTCTTCACCTCGTCCATGTTGATGCCTCCCGTGCTGAAGAGATCGCTGATACCGTCATGGCCCTCTTTCTTTGCCTGCTTCGCCGGACTCACTTACTTTCTCGGCATGCCTTCTCTGCTTCAGGATGGCTCGGTTCGGTCCAGCCGCTCTGTCGTGGGATGCGGCGCTGTCGAGGGCTCGTACTTGGTATTGTTGGTAGATCCGCGTCCGCTAGGTCGTTAGCTACTAGGAGCTTGGCGTTTAAGATGAGTGTGCTCTATTTCGATGTTCATGAGGTACGTACCATGGGAGTAATTTCCTAACTATTCCATCCATAGATATTTCTGTTAAAATCATTTCATGTAATCTGTCTTTATTCAGATAGACTTAAAAACCGTTGGATCGAAAAAGCGTTCGATTATAGGTTTGACATTATCCAAGTTTGATCTCTAGGAATTCTGACTTATAAACTTAACCTCATTTCTTGAGACTAGTTCGATTGCCAACTTCTATGCTTCAAGTCCAAATAACTACATAGTATCTGGTTGGTTTATTTATTTATTTTATCGTGGTTTTCCCGCCAGAGAAATGAGGATAAAAGCTTAGTAATAAGATATTTTGAAACAAATTTGCAAATGTAATGCAGTATCGCACTATTGCACAGTAATTGGAAATCTTTTGTAGACTTAAAATGTTATGTGCCAACATATCTCTATGTTTGCATGCCTCGACTATTGGGTTAAAGCTAATTTTATGGGTTTTTTGGAGATCTTTCAAGCTATCATCTAGCAAGTTCCATTCATACCATTTAGTCGTTTTTTCATCAATTTTAAATAACCCACTTATCAATCTAGAAAGTGAATGTGTCTTTACCTTATCTCTTCCAGAAAAAAAAAGGAAAGAAAGACAAGAAAAGAAAAGAAAACGAAAGAAAGATTGGGACTGTGAAAGTCAAGCTTGCTATATTGAATGCTTTCCTAATCTACTTGTAGCTCCTTTGCGCTCATTCTTCAAGTATCACTTTCTGCTTGAGTTTCTCTTCTAAACTGATCTTTTCACAGGGAGCAGGAAAATCAGGCAGGCCTTCTATAACATTTCCTCCAGCTGCCCGGAGAATGGATACACTCAATGACTTACTTGCAGCTAGTGATCTTATTTCACTCCATTGTGCACTATCAAATGAGACTGTTCATATCATCAATGCAGAATGCTTGCAACATATTAAACCCGGTAAGTTTTTATATTTCGAGCACTTCTTTGTAGCAAATCAAATTAAGACAGCTTTTGCATCTGAAGAAAAGATGTATCTTCTTGTTTGCAGGGGCGTTTCTTGTGAATACAGGTAGTAGTCAGCTGTTGGATGATTGTGCTCTGAAGAAACTTTTGATAGATGGTACCATTGCTGGCTGTGCACTAGATGGTGCTGAAGGGCCACAATGGATTGAAGCATGGGTATGGGCATTAGCCTTAGGGTATGAATTGTAATCTTAGATAGTTGGGTGTATGTGATTTTTGGTGATGAATTTCTTCTTTGAATATGATCATTGAGTAAAATCCCTGGAATGCATTTAACTGTATCTCTTGGGTTGAATCTTTTCTACTTCCATGCTCCCTAATTTGTTTACCTTGTTTCTATCAATTTGCCAAAAAAATTATTGTTACGATATGTACCAACCCCTTGCCTTAAATGTGCCTTCTGAAAAGTTATTTTGAAAAGTTACTAAATGAAGAACATACAGAGGGTACTAGTGTGGGAGGGAATAGGGATCAATAACTACAATATAACTGAACGATAAAAAAAGCTATAATATAACTGACATTAATAGGAACCTTCGAAAAATTAAAGGTTCTAAAATGGATGAGGCTTTAGATAAGATGAAGAAGGGAAAGACATAGGTAACAAATGGGGAGCCTAAATTGGCGCTTGCTACTGGTCATAATCTTCAAATGCAACACCTAGTAAAAACTCTAATCTCAGAAGTAGGCCCTAATGAAATAAGTTAAAGAGGAAACCTCATAGGCAAAGGTGGGGCAAGAATAGAAAAAGAGACAGAAGAGAACCCCATGAGATTTAGATAGTCAAGTCCTTTTTTCAGTTTTTTCTTGGCATGAAGGATGAAGAAAAGCACCAGAAAGACGGATATTGAGGAATATTGAATGGAGGCGACTGTGAACCTAATCAGAGGCGACTGTGAATGGAGGACTGACAACTATGGCAATTGTGGTGTAGGACAAAAGCTGTAAAGGTTACGAAAATGGAAAAGGGCCAGCATGGGAGGGGTTAGGGAAGAAGATGAAGAGCGGAGATGTGGTACAACCCAGGAAGGAAGATTCCAAACATCAGTAGGAATCTTTCCTACAAGAAAGCGGTGGCGGCGGGAGTTTGGCCAAACTTTGGAGTAACAAAGCAAAAGATTGATGGGGAGAAGATTGTGCTAGAAATGTCAGTGCAGGGGGTTAGGGAAAGGACAACGTTTTTGCAGGGGTGTTTAGTAGGTTATTATGATAGAAAGTGTTTGGTAGAGGAAGTGGAGGCTTGGGTGACAAGGTGCTGGATGGCGGTGGGTGGAGTGAGGGTAAAAAAGCTAATAGAAAACCTGTACCTTTTCATAGTTCCGTTGAAGGAGGAGGCGGAATTGGTGCTCAAGAATGGACCTTGGAGTATTGGCCATAACAGATTGACACTAGATTGGTGGGAAGAAACAATGGTGAACTATACATCGGAGAAATTGGGGGAAACCAGAGAGCCAAAAGAGATTTGGATCAAAGTTTTTGGGCTGCCACTCCCGTTGTGATGTCTGAGTGTTATGCAAGGAATTGGAGATGTTTGTGGGGGAATTCTAGGTACAGACAATTCAATGGGGGAGCTTAAGACCTACGAATGGATTAGGATGAAGGTGAAGGTCGGGGGGGGGGTAAGATCCCGGAGAAAGTGAAGATCGAAGCAGGGGACTTGTCTTTCTGTGTGTGGATCTGGCCTGAAAGAAGACCACAAGTGTTTTACAGGGAGGGCAGAGGGGAAGGGGTGAGGGAGAAGGGCCAAGGGAATCAGGGGGAGTGGGAGGACTCGATGGTGAGTAGAACGGTAGTAATTGCTGAGGAAGAAGAGGAGAGCAACGGAGAGAGGAGTTCACTGGAGAAAGAGAAGACGAAGGGAGAAGAAAGGATGGAGTTGTGACCCGTACTGTGTGGGATCCCTGTTGAATCCCTTCCAACCTTATGGGAAAAGATGATTCCAGATCAGCCACAAGATACTTGTCCGATGGACTTGGGGGGAGCAGGAAATAAACAGAAGGAAATTCAAATTTTCAACATGAGACAAAATTGGGAGGGCTTTTCGAAAACCCGGTTTAAAGAGGCGATGGTCGAGTGCAAGGTTTAAAATGTCGATGTCGATGGAAATGTCTCTTACCAAAATATAGGACTATGTTGGAAATGTCGGGGGGAAATATTGTAAAAATTAGAGACATTGTGGAAATATTATGAAATATGTGGAAATATGCAAAGATATTTTGTAAAATGATAAAAGAAGCATTA